TCAAAGGGAAGGGGTCGGGTTGCTCAAGGTCGGCTTGGCTGGAGCCCAGGGGAAGAGGAGTCGGGGGGGGCGTCGCATCTGACCCGGGGGGGGGGTCGCTACCCCCCCCCCCTCCCGGCGGGGGAGGGATCAAAGGGAAGGGGCTTCCCTTCGACTCAATTACGAGGTTGCTCAAGGTCGGCTTGGCTGGAGCCCAGGGGAAGAGGAGTCCCAGGGGGGGGCGTCGTATCTGACCCGGGGGGGGGGTCGCACCCCCCCCCCCTCCCGGCGGGGGAGGGATCAAAGGGAAGGGGCTTCCCTTCGACTCAATTACGAGGTTGCTCAAGGTCGGCTTGGCTGGAGCCCAGGGGAAGAGGAGTCCCAGGGGGGGGCGTCGTATCTGACCCCCCCCCCCTCCCGGCGGGGGAGGGATCAAAGGGAAGGGGCTTCCCTTCGACTCAATTACGAGGTTGCTCAAGGTCGGCTTGGCTGGAGCCCAGGGGAAGAGGAGTCCCAGGGGGGGGCGTCGTATCTGACCCGGGGGGGGGGTCGCTACCCCCCCCCCCCTCCCGGCGGGGGAGGGATCAAAGGGAAGGGGCTTCCCTTCGACTCAATTACGAGGTTGTCCAAGGTCGGCTTGGCTGGAGCCCAGGGGGGGGGGGTCTCCCAGGGAAAGGGAAGGGCAGAGACGACGAGTACAAAGAATGACGGAGATGACGGCTCGAACGGAAAAGCCCCTCACACACGCCGACAGGGTCGGCGGAATTTGGAGACCTGGTGCAGAAAATTGATGAGGACGGTTTACTTTTCAATCATATGCTCTTGCTGCACACGGCTCAGCCGCGTTGCCGCCAGAGACAGTGGAAGTTGTGGGACTATTCCCTAAGAGTAGTGACAAGATTGTTGGAACCAGCGTTCACAAAATGTGGACACGATATAAGGCGTGCCCGTCGCAAGAAGGAGAGAGGAGCGATTCCGCCATGCCTATTTTCTGTCGAGCATGCCAGGGACATTCAACATTCGTTGCTTCCATTGAAAGGATGTATGTCCCATATGACCCTGGCCAAGTCAGGAGTCATGGATCTCTTCTTCATATCGCGGACTTGCAGACATTCTTGAAATCTACGGATGGAAGAGTCCGCTTTCCGAAGAGAGACTCAGGGCTCTGTCGCGAGGCAGACTATGATTTGCTGAGGCTGCTTCCGACGAAAAGGAGCCCAACAATGCCTGATCCCACGCGTATTCTTTCGTGGCTCAGCCAGCGGGGGGCACGGAGAACAAGGAGTCTTGTGCCCATGGGGCGTGAGGCACAGAGAGGAGAACCGTCATCGGTGGGGACTTGGCCCGCAGACGACACCATCCACCTATGGGAACAACTTCCCAACCACCGCGAGTCCTGGGAGCTTGTTCTTGTTTTCACTGGCCGAGTGCTCACTCGCTTCTCACGCAGGATTTGCCCAGACGGGACCCTGGTGTCCCGAGAGGTGCCGAGATTCACCGACATTGACAAAGCCGTCTCCCTCGTTAGACAAACGAACCAGATGCGTCGGTCGGTATTTTTCAACCGCGAGTGGGCCGTACGAAGTGACTTTCGACAACGAGCCGATTATTGCTTGGATTCACACAGACGAGACTCTGTTGTTGACTTGGAACCGTCGGCCAGAGCTGTCACCCGAAATTCAGGAACGAGCTCTATCCGTCCCTTGGGAAGGTGATGGAAGGTTCCTATGCTTCTGTTATCACTGGGTGAGAACGGGCTTTGAACATTGTCCGGTCTGCAGCTGTCGAACCAAATACAAGCACAGAGTCACGCACGATTACATGTCTCAGACGTGGAATCTTGAGATAATCCCGCGGTCCCTTGAGGCGAATGGACTTGTACTACAGGGGAGAGATCACGCCAATCTTCCCTGGAACCGTCCCCAATGGATCAAAGTGCGTGGGAATAGACAACAGAAAGCTTCTGCGCTCGTAATGGAGAACATCAGCAGTAATCATCAGCAGGAGCGAAAATGGGCGAGTGGGGAATATGTTAGAATGGCTGCATCAGGCCAGATATTCGGCAACAGCCTGCCAGGCAATTTGCCTGCTTGGGTGCCAGCGGACGCCGTGGCTCAGCCGCCGGCGCGCCATGGCCCTTTCTTCCAGTATTTGAGGCCCTTGGTCAGAAGGGTCATAGGATGGCTTGAATACTCAGCCAGAAGGGTGAGAAGGCGGACCCCAGCGATCAATACCTGGTGGCCGCTGCTATGGAAGACGAATGCTGACCAATATGCTCGCCCAATATCTTGCCCAGCTTTGGCGGCCTTCGACTGGCCAAATGTACGGGACGACATAGTCGAACCCGTGATAGGCTGGGAGAGATGGTATAGCGACATGACTAGAACAAATGTCTTCGCCCCGACGCTTCAATCAATTGATGGCGCGGTTGCCTTGGGGACACCATGGTTGCCTGTGCATAATGAAGACGTCGCGGAAGACGCAGGAGAAAACCCTCGAGGGCAAAACCCTCGCGGACGATTGCCGGTCGTCTGGGGGGGGGCGGGAATTTCAGGGCGAGGCCGACTCGCAGTTCTCAGTCCGTTGCAAGACGGATCAACGAATGTCGGGACCATCGCCTCATAGTACCAGCGTTGCTACCTGCCACCGGCAGCCGCAAGGGCAGGCGAACAATCGCAGATGGGACTGGACTTCTCGGCGATCAGCGGGCCCAAGGCTGCGCTGATAACCGAAGGGGCGATCAGCCTCGATCAGCCCGACGGATATGCATACAACCACTGCGAGAACCCTTCAGTTAACATAATTTTGTTCGGGATAGAGGCTAGGGCGACTGCAGCTCAATAGGTTATCGAATGCACAGGCATGCGCCCGAGTGATCCCGATATGATACAACTGATAGGGGAAGTGGAACATGAGGCCCCACCCATTGTCAAGGACATGGTTGATGGAAACTGGTTGGCCTCCGTGCAGCAGATGCAACTGGGTATTCGGCTCATAAGAATGTTTGCGATCGTTCGCGAGACCATGAGCTCCTTCATTTCGGAGGGACATTTTATCGGTTACCCGGGGCGAATAATTCGCCCCGACGGAGCGAGCACGGACCTCGTTGCTGCGATGTGACGGAATGATGAATATGCTCTTGACTGCCGCATTCGCGCCGCCGTTCAGACGGACGACATAATAGAGGAATTGTCCCGCAATCTGGGCAGGAAGGTGCTGACTGACGTCCGTTGCAAGGGTGCCCCGTTGCAACAAGCCATTTCTTGGCTTCAGGACAAATATACTGATCCTGGGACAGAGCTCCAGGATATAGACGCAGGACCGTTCCGCACTGCATGCGGAAAATATGGCATCCCAGTAGCCACCGCTGCTAAGAGTTTGTTAAACTTTATGCGAGATCGTGAGAACAGACGCGACAATCCGCACCACGGCGGCGAAGCCGCTCCCGTGGGTGAACGACGTTCATGTCGGGTACTACGTCCACCGGGACCGGATCACGCGGTTGTCCGACGAGGTCTGGTGGACGCTGGATCTGCGGCGTACACTCTCTACGTTTGAGCATGGCGCTCACTTCCCGCCGAAGGGGAAGGCGTCCAAGAACAAGGAGAAGAGCTACAGCGCTGCAGATCATACTAGTAAAGGAAAGGGACGGCCCCGCTCGCCTCGCGGCGGAGACGGACAGACTGGAGGTTCGGCGCCGTCGAACCCGCCGCCTCCGGCGCCGCCCGCGGAGGAGGAGAACCCGTGGGATGAGCTGGTCTGAGATCCGCCCGCGTGACTTAGTCGCGGCAGGCGCATGCATGGAAGTTCTCGTCCACGCGCGGCGCGCGTGTTGGACGGGCTAACAACTCTACTGGTCGGCTAGGCCGGTCCAGCGGAGAGAACGTATTTAAACTATGTGGGAGTCGTCGGGCCTCTTCGGCCCTTAGCCCCCTGGCGGCCACCGTTGAGCGGTAAAATGTTTTGCGTTTCGCTACGGTGGTTGTAAATAATTAGGCCGGGGGTGCTGTGGCCGGATGGGCTCTGCGAGGCCCGTCGCGGGGGGGGTAAATATACCCCTTTCCGCCTCGTAATAATACGCATTATAACCCATCTTGCATGCTGCGCACTGTCTGACTTGAGCTAATGCTGCATACTGCAGCTGTTTGCTTACTCAAGCAAGCTTTTGCTTGCTTGCAGGAAAGAAAAGGAGCGCGCCTGCCCTCGGCCGTCGCGTGTCGTTGGTCGTCGGCAGGCCGGCCTCCTCCCTTCACATTCCTGATGCAGTAAACTTGCTTACCGGATACTTGTCTTATCGATGTCTCATCCCGTCCCCTCTCTCCCTGAGCAGAGTGAACATGAGATTTTAATTCCTTTGGCATCTTACCCCGATTTTCAGAGGAAAGACTCAGGGCCCTGCCAGGGCTGCTCGCGGCCCGGGATTCGACACGGTCCGCTCCCGAGGCCGTTCGGCTCTGACCCCTTCGCGCCGCGAAACAATCGCGAAGGGAGGTTTTTATTTTCGGCGTCCAGGGCCCTCGCCAGGCCTCGGGACCATCAAACAATGAGTCAGGATAAAACCGGTCCAGGGTCCAGATTTCTGAGGGTCACGTCATGAAAAATCATGACGTCGGAGGCCAGGGGAGTCCGATCCCAGTGCCGGGTCCCTCCGACGCGGGCTGATTTCGGGCAGGTGGTAATGGGGGTGATCCAAATGAGGGGTGAAGAAAAGGGCTCTGAAGGGGCCCTCTGGGGCCCCTTTTGGACCCAGTCGAGGGCCTAAAGGGGCCGTGAAGGGCCTCTTTAGGGCCCTGGGCCCCTTCAGGGTCCTTTACTTCACCCCCCCCTTTCTGGGCCACCCCCCTTTACCGCGCGCCCGACGACTCCCCCTGGGGCCCCTGCGGAATGCTGTGCCCCATCCGCGACGCCAGGCGCTCTGGAGCCGATGCGATTTTCAGCGTGGACCGTGGGCGCGGCCCGATCCGCTCCTGGGGCGATTTGTTGTGATGTTCAGCCGGTCGGCCCGCGGCCCGCGGCGCGAGGCCTGGCGTCTGGGGCGTGCGAGGAGGCCCACGGCTGCGGCTGGGCCGCGGGCCCCGGAGCCGCGGGCGCTTGCCTGGACTGCGGCGGCCTGGAGAGGCTGCCCGCGGCGTCTGCTAGGAGGGAGGGAAGGAGAGGGAGGGAGGGAGGGAAGGAGAGGGAAGCAGAGGGAGGGAGAGAGGGAGGGAGTGAGGGAGAGAGGGGAGGAGGAGTACGAGGAGCAGGAGCAGGAGGAGGAGGAGGAGGAGGAGGAGGAGGAGGAGAGCAGGAGGAGGAGGAGGAGGAGGAGGAGGAGGAGGAACAGCAGGAGAAGGAGGAGGAGGAGGAGGAGGTGGAGGAGGAGGAGGAAGAGGTGGACGTGGAGGAGGAGGAGGAGGAGGAGGGCAGGGTCAGTATCGTCGAGCCGATCCCGGATACCCCCATCCCATTTCCGCCACCCTTGTTGGGGATACGCCCCTCGGAACTCGAGGGGAACAGCCTTAGGGGCCCAGGCCACGCCCGTGGGGACAGGGATCTGTTCAACGATACTCAGAGAGGGGGGTTGGAGGGAGGAGGCTGTGAGGAGAAGTCTGGAGGGGGGGATATGTGCGGAGAGGGGGGGCGGGGTGGGGTGGGGCAAACTAGGTGCGCTCGCGCCATATCTGACACCCTGTCCCTCCCACCAATCCCCTCCCGTTGCGCGGATGTTTCCCCCATCGTGGCATGCGCAATCGGGAAAAAAGGGAGCTGCGTACATTCGAGGAGGAGGTGGCGGATGAACAGGAAAAGGAGGCGGAGGCGGAGGAGGAGGAGGAGGAGGAAGAATAAGGAGGATGACAATGACGAACAGCAGCAGCATGAGCTGGGTTGGAAAGAGCGGGAGGAGCAGGAGGACCAAGGGAAGACGGAGGAGGGGAATCATGGGGCGACAACGATGCGAAAGGATTCGGATCCAGATCAGTGGCCCGTGCTGGGGCGAGAGAGTCCTTCTGAAAGACGGGAGCAAAGCGCCGATCCGAAAATGAGGCTCACTCTGCAACAGGAACACCCTTTTGAGACACCGGAAACAATCGGAGTGTAAGACACATGCGAGAACACAGCAATATTCAGGAGGGAAAACACACAGACACAATTAATCGTCGACCCCTAAGAAAATATACGAAAATATGGGAATTGTGCGGGAAGACAAAAACCCAGAAAATATGTGAACATATTGGGAATCTGTTTATGTGTGTGTATTTACTTGTGTGTCCTTGGGCCCCTTGAAATATCTGGAACCTTGTGCGCAACAAAAAGTACGCGCAGAGGGCCGAGCATTTTCTGGACAGGGTCAAAGGAGAGAGAGTCATGTCACGCGGTTTCGGGGGTGGCGCGTTCCGCCCGTTGTTGTTTCTGAGGCTGATTGCCCCCCATGTCGGCCACCAAAATGCCGAATGTACAGTTTTGTTCTCGCACGGCTTCGGGGTGACACGTGTCACCCGCTGCTCTTTTTCCAGGCTGAATGATTTTTTGCGTTGGCTCCCATGCTCCCAAACTCACAACTGGTCTTTCTCAAACGTTTTCGGTGGTGACACGTGTGACCCGCTGCTTTTCCCAGGCCAAATGGCCCCATCTTGGCCCCCAGAACACAACATTCACATCGTTTTGTCCCACGCGGTGTCGGGGTTGCCACGTGTCAGCTGTTGCTTGTCTGAGGCTAGCTGACCCAATGCTGGCTCTCCCAATGTCCATAATCTTCAGCAGGTGTTTCTCACACGGTGTCGGGGGTGGCACGTGCCACCCGCTGCTCCTATGAGGCCCAGTGGCGACATGCTGGCTCCCAGTAGCCTAACATGTACGATCATTTTTTTTTTATCGCGCGGTGTCGGGGGTAAGGCGTGCCACCCGTTACGCTTATGAGTTGGATTGGCTCCGTGCTGGCCGCAAACACTTGGAATATGCAACGGTTTGTCTCTCACACGGTTTCGGGATGACACTTGTCACCCGTTGTGCTCTTCCAGATCGAATGGCTGCTTGCTTGCTCCCAGGATCCCAAAGTCACAACTGGTTCGTCTCAAACGGTTTCGGCGGTGACACGTGTCACCCCTTGCTTTTCCCATGCTGAATGATTTCATGTTGGCTCCCAGAGCCATACCTTTACAATTGGTCTTTCTCATGCGGTTTCGGGGGTGACTCGTGCCACCCGCTGCTTTCCTACGGCCGATCGACCACGTGTTGGCTCCCAGAACCCCGGATTTAGAAGTTGGTTTCCTTACACGGTTTAGGGGGTGACATGAATCACCCGTTTTTTGTTGTTAAGATTGTCCGGCACCATGCTCTCTCGCAGAATCTCGAATCTACACTTGTGTTTTTTTCTTCTCACGTGGTTTCGGGGGTGGCACGTGTCATCCGCTGCTTTGCTGCGGCTGGCTGATCCCATGTTGGCTCCCAGAACCATGCATGTATATGTTGTGTTTCTCACAAGGTTTCGGGGGTTGCACGCGTCTCCCGTTGCTCTTGTGAGGTTCCACATTTACATATCGTTTTTCTTACACGGTATCGGGGGAGGGGGTACATGTCACCCGCTGCTTTCTTCCAGGCTAACTGATTTTTTGCTGGCTCCCAGAATCCATGATTTTCAAATGTTTGTTTCTCAAACGGTGTCGGCGGTGACACGTGTCACCCCCTCCTTTTTTTCCAGGCCAACTGACCCCTTGCTGACTCCCACAATGCTGAACTTACAATTGGTTTTTCGCACACGGTTTCGGGGGGGGGGGGCGTGTGTCACCTGCTGCTATCTTGAGGCTGACTGACCCCATGATGGCCCCCAGAATCCCAAATGTAATGTGTTGTTTTTCTTCACGCAGTTTCGGGGGTGACATGTGTCACCCGTTGCTTTTCTGAGGCTTACTGACCCCGTGCTGGCTCCCAGAATCCAGAATTGACATGAAGTTTTCCTCGTTCGCAGAAAGGCCCATAGGGCTCGTAGGGCTCACCCCGATCCACTCTTGTCGTCTCGTCGTCACTTCGATCCATGGGCCCATAGGGCCCGTAGGGCTCATAGGGCTCACCCAGTCCGTCGTCGTCTTTGCCGCCCCGATCCACTCCTGGCGAAGATGCATCGGGGAATTTGTGCTGATTTACGGAGTGGCCCACCCTGGGGGCCGCCGCCAGCTTTTGGAAATCCGTTCGCGTTTCACCCCTCTGCGATTTTTCTTGAACCCACCCCTTGAGGCCGCCGCCAGCTTCTCGGAAACCCGTCCACCTATCGACCATTTGAATTTTCCTGTGAACCCACTCCCGGCCGACGTGGCGTGGGGAAGGTCAATTTGGGTTCTATGCATTATTTGTCTGTCCTGGGCAGCGGAGCTGGGGAAGGGTCCTAACATGTCTCGCAATGGGGTTGCATTTAAAATCATACCCCTTCTTCAGAGCTCGGATGCACCCGGAATGAGGGTGGTACACTAAGTCGCCCCTTTACAATGAAAATCAATATTTCTCCGCGGCACCCACCGCGCAACAACGACGACTGCGACTACTAGGAAGAGGAGGAGGAGGAGGAGGAGGAGGAGGAGGCGGAGGTGGAGGAGGAGGAGGAGGCGGAGGAGGAGGAGGAGGAGTTGAAGGAGTTGGAGGAGGTGGAGGAGTTGGAGGAGTTGGAGGAGGAGGGGGAGGAGGAGGAGGAGGAGGAGGAGGAGGAGGAGGAGGAGGAGGAGGAGGAGAAGCAGGAGCAGGAGCAGAGGCAGGAGCAGGAGCAGGAGCAGGAGGAGGAGGAGGAGGGGCGGAGTTTATTTCCTGCCGAGAGAGGCAGGGGCGGGGATTCCTCCCAAACCAAGACCTCCCTCGGTTACCGGGGGGAGGGGGCGGCTCTTTAGAAGCACCCTGCTTCTGCGAAGCCCGCTTCCCTCCCCCATACCCCTTTTGTGCGCGCCGCCAACCAGGGAGGCGGGTGGAGCCCCATGCCAGAGGACGCCAATTCTGAACTTGCGCCGACTGGCCAAGCCCACTGTCCAGTGCCTATGAAACGGCCGGCCTGGCCGGGAGGGGGGGGCGCACGCTCGCGCGCGTCCCCTCAGAGTTCTGGAGGAGGGAGTCCCCAAGGGTTGAGAGCTCCCCCCCTCGAGGAGAAGCCCTGTCCAAGCCTAGACCGCCTCCTCCTCCTCCTCCTCCTCCTTGGTCTGGCCATGATCCATCTCCTCCTTCGGGATAGTGCGCGGACCCTCCCGGTTCGGCGTTGCGCTGGAAGAGCGGCTCTTGCCCGAGTGGCCTCTGACCAACCCTCGGGGTAGTGCCCCGTGCTGGACAACACTTTGATGGTTCGGGCCCGAGGAGGGCGCCCGAGGCCGAAGTCGAGGAGGAACGCCGGGATTGGCAAAACCGAAGTCGGTGGGGGCCTGCCAGTCGCAGCAGAAGGTGCTCTTTAAAGAGCGCCTTCTGCCGTTGCTGGCAAGCCCCCCCCATGCCTCGGTTCGAATTGGAGTGAGGTGGGGGGGTTGTAAAACAGCCTCCCACTCCGAATCGGGGGGGGCGGGGGAAACTTCCCCCGCCCTCCCAAACCCCAGTTTCTGTCTTCGGGCAAGCGACGGTAGATCGCGCTCCCTCGAGGAACCATATCTCTGCCACAAGAAAATACACACCGATACCCTCCCATGGATTATTACTCCTGGGCCTCATGGGGAGGGCGGCGGTGTATGAATGACCACTGGGAGCCAGCGACGTTATACACTGGCGCCCCTCTTGAAGGTACATGCAACGTTGGTCGCAGGATATCTGTGTACCCAGACACCCGACGTCATGATTTTTCATGACGCGACCCTCAGAAGTCTGGACCCTTCCGCAGGGACCGGCTTTCCATCCCAAGCCATGTCTTGACGGTCCCGAGGCCCGGCGAGGGCCCTTGGAGGCCGAAAATCGGGACACGCCTCCCCGTCACGAGTTCTTCGCGACGCGAGGGGGTCTGGGTACAGGGCAGTTTTTGATACATGCTCCGCGTGCGGATCATGGATTACAAATGCAGGGACTTAGCATTAAAAATAACGATGAGTTCATGCATCCATTCATTCATAAGTTCATCATGTATTCAAAATCCCATATGCTTAAACATCCTACGTATTAAAAGCTGCCCTGTACATCTTTTCGTGGCTCAGCACCGTCGGACCTCTGGGCAGCCGGGGCCCTCCGACCGTGCCGCCCGGACCCCCCACCCCAAAGCGGGCCGGCCGGGGGCGCCGCGGGCGCCATGGCGGGCCCGGGTGCCGCTGGCCCGGCGGCCCTGGCGCGCGGCGGCCCCGGGGAGGGGCCTGCTGGGGGCCACGGGGCCGCAGCGCAGCAGGGGCCCGACGCGGAGGCTCGCCAGTCGGGGGGCCGCGGCGGCGCGCGAGGGGGGAGGGGGAGCGAGGAGGAGGGAGAATGGGGGGAGGAGGGAGGAGGCGGGAGGAGGAGCGGGAGGAGGAGCGGGCGGAGGAGCGGGAGGGGGAATCAGGGAGGAAGGAGGAGGAGGAGGAGGAGGAGGAGGAGGAAGAGGAAGAGGAAGAGGAGGAGGAGGAGGAGGCGGAGGACCAGCAGCAGAACGCGACGCCGAGCGGCTCAGTCCCTGCTCCGCGTGCAGCGCCCCCAGCAGGGCGACCCACTGGGCGGCGAGCCACTGTAAACCCAACACGTATCAACGGTGTCGCAATGGACCTGCCCTCCCGGCCCCGTCGGGTCGCGGGCGGCCCTGGCGGGCGCGCTTCCCCCTCCCAGGACCCCCACGGTGAGTGCCGACGGGGTTCCAGTTTTCTGGCAGAGGGGGGAAACTGCGAACACTGCATGAACGTAAACTGTTGGAGGTCCGCGCGGACGCCCCAGATCGGCGCTGCAGGGGCGTCTTTTCACGGGGTCCTCGAAGAATTCATTGTGAAGGCCGTGCGGCCGGTGCCGCCGACCCCGAAGGTACCAGACTTCCCCCGGCACCCTCGCTGGAGACCCCCCCCCCCAGGAACCGCCAGGACCCCGGGGAGGCGGACTTCTGACCCGGGACCCACCCCCCTCCCGACCCCCTCCCCCGCCCCCCTACCCCTTGGCAGGGAAGGGATAATGAAAGGGAAGGGGCTTCCCTTCGACTGAACTACGACGTTCCTGTTCCTTGTTCTCAGTTTCCTTGAGAGTGACGACGGCGAAGACGGCGACGGCGACGGTGACGGCGACGGCGACGACGACGACGACAATAGCGTCGTCCACACGCTGGAGGGTCGGCGGATTTTCATGGCGGGAAATGCCCCATTGCAACACACTTTCCTCAAGGCCGTAATTAGCCGACAGAGTCGAAACTGGAATTTGCGGCGACGTTCGGAATTTGGGATGCAGTGTCGTCAGTAGTGTTGGGTGATTGCTGATCGACCCGGCATGCCCATGCGTGATCGCCGTGGCTCGCCACCTGGCCGTCTGGCCGCCGTGTCAGGCTCGGCTCTTGAAGCTCCTCAGGGCCCTGAGGCCAGCGGGGACCCTTGTCGCGAGAGGCATATTCTATATTTGAGGTGTGGGGCTAGAGTCACGGGGGAGCCGTGAAGCTCGCTGATGTCTGCCATGCGCCTACGCCTAAGCGACTGGATGTCCTCAGCAAGTTTTGGCGTGGTCTTGGACCTAATCTGCGAGTTCGTGAGGTGCTTGACAAGGCGTTGCCTGTTGGGCGGCTCGATGTTGAGTGTGGCCATGGTGCCAAGCCAGGTTTGAGTGTCACCTCAGTCCATCGGGCTTTTTCGGATGCTCCCGTAAATCCCGCCCACGAGTAGAGAATTTCGGCCGCGGTCGCCAAAGTTGAAGCCAACAAAGAGGCACCTACATCTTCATTGGTGGACTAACGCAGGTCGGCCCCCCTTCGTATTGGTGTTGTCACCTCCCGAATCTTCCGAGACGTTGTCCATCCATTCATCCCTCCTTCTCCTCCTTTTCGCCGCCCGCGTCCTGTCAGAACGTGCTCAGGTGTTCGACCCATCTTGCCACTGCGCCTGGGTCGCGTGAAGGCCCTGGGGGGCACATTTCGGGGGGTCTCGAGTGGTCTTTGGCAGGGCCACCGAGGGCATTTGTGGCACGGTTGGGCGCGTGATGGTGCGTCCCTGGGTTTCTTGAAGCCTGTTGGGGGCTTCTGGGAGGCTTCATGGGTTTTGGGATCATGGTGGAAGGCTTGGCTTTCAGCAGCGCGGCGATGGCGCATTCGCACTGTTTGGGCCCCTCGTGGAGCCGTCTTTGAGGCCTCTTGGGCCACCCCCCTCGGGGGGGTCCTGGCGGGGCCGGGGCCAGGGCCGGGGCCAGGGCCAGGGCCGGGGCTGGGGCCGGGGCCGGGGCCGGGGCCGGGGCCGGGGCCGGGGCCGGGGCCGGGGCCGGGGCCGGGGCCGGGGCCGGGCCGGGCGGGCCGGGGCCGGGGCCGGGCGGCCGGGGCCGGGGCCGGGGCCGGGGCCGGGGCCGGGGCCGGGCGGGGCGGGGCCGGGCCGGGGGCCGGGCCGGGGCCGGGGCCGGGGCCGGGCCGGGGCCGGGGCCGGGGCCGGGCCGGGGCCGGGCCGGGTCGCGGGGGGCACGTCGGGTTGAGAAGGCCTTGTCAACACCTTTCTGAAATCTTTCTTGATGTCGGCGAGATGCTGCTTCTGAGCATCGATGACAGCATGACCCTCGGAACCCAGCCTGGCGAAAAAAACAGCCCAGAGGTTACCAAGGACATCCTGAATTGCCTGGGCCGAAGACAGGTCCAGAATATATCATCCCACTCGCGGTGGGCTTTCACCCACTGAAAGGTGGGACGCGCCTGGCCCTCCTGAGACAGATCAAAAATGCTGCGCCAAATGTCCGCGTGCAACGCGTGGCCATGAGCAAGGGCTGGGGACCACTCCATCCCTTTCCGCACAGCGCTTAAATTGTCTGACACTACCTGGGCGTCTGGGGGGGCCCGCCGAAGGGCTTGGATAATCGCGCATCGCTCAGCCCGAGGCACCGACTGGCGCCACCCAGGGAGAGCCCCGAACACCGCGCGGATCGGGGGCCCCCCGAGGCCCATCTCCACCGCAGCATACCCACACCGTGTAAATTCTGGACTGGAGCTCGCCAATCCCGAACCGTCGGTGTAGACGCGCCGGCCCCAAAGCCCAAGAGCAAGCCCCCAGGAATGGGCGGGGAGCTCCGAGGGGACTGGGGGAACCTTACATCTACGGAAGGGGAAACAGTAGGCGAGCTCGAGCGTATCCCAGTCTGGTTCGCCAAGCCCCGTCTCGCCCCTCGCTCGAAGCACTCCCCTCCATTCCACGACGCCCTCAGGATAAACTGAATCATTGTTGCGAGGGCAATCAAGTACAGGTTCGCACTCAAAAAGCTGGTGGCCCAGGGTTCCAGCGTCTACCTTGCCACAAAACTGGCAGTCCGAAGAAGTGCTGTAGCCAGCCGCCTTGCTGCGAGCAGGGGGCCACATCGTTGACCCCAGAACGCACCTCGCAGCCCCTTGGCGTTTCTGGTCCGAGATTTTCAACGCGCCGCGACGAAGCCCCCTCGCCCAAATTTCCTCGGAACCAGTAGCCTCAGGAACGTGCTGAAGTGCACGCTTGGCCTGCCACCGAGCAATGCCTAGACGGAGGGCAGCGCGCACATCGCGCGGGCGCTCGCGCAGCAGGTTGTGCACATGACCCTGATCGCTTTCGATAAGGTGGGCAGAACGCATGCACCTACCTACGCGTCGCAAGCTCAGCAAAACGGCTGAGGCGGGCCCTTTACAAACCTTCCAAGATTGGGAAGCTTGGACACGGGCCGAAATAACATGCCAAGCTCGCTGGAGCCTGCCCAGGGAGATTTTACTGTCCCAGGTCATGGCACAATATCCCAAAAGTAACGGAACACAGGTGTCAAAGACTGGATCAAAGTATTGATCCCGCTGGGTCATCAGCCATGCAGCGAGAGAGCCTGACCGCTTGGCTCCGACAAGCGAACCAACGAGCGCGCGTAAAGCCATGAGGGTGCCGTCAGCGACTCCAGACACGCCCGCGCCGTGAGCGCCCGCAGGGAGC